TTCAGTGCGGTGTGTGAAATGTGGGAAGTGGATACATAGGAGATTGGCAAGGGATTTTGCGTGTGGAAGATGTAAGAATGGCATTGGAAGGGTGGTGGAACAGGAAGAAAAGTTGTGTGATGAGGTTGAGTCAGTGAAGGAGTTTACATACCTGGGGGACAAGGTAAGTGTGGGTGGTGGGTGTGAGGCGGCTGTGACAGCTAGAGCAAGGTTTGCCTGGGTGAAGTTTAGGGAATGTGGAGAGCTACTATATGGGAAGAGATTTCCCTTGGAGATGAAAGGAATAGAGTTGTGTGAGATCAGCATTGCTGTATGGGAGCGAGACATGGTGTCTGAGTGAAAATGAGCTGGGTATTTTAAGGAGGACAGAGAGAGCGATGGTGAGAGTGATGTGTGGGGTGAAGTTGATGGACAGAAAAGTAATTGAAGACTTGATGCAGATGTTGGGTTTGAAGAAAGCGGTAGATCGGTTGGCGAAGGCAAATGGGGTACGTTGGTATGGGCATGTGCTGAGGAGGGAGGATGGGCATGTATTAAGAAGGGCCCTTGATTTAGAGGTGAGTGGTCCAAGGAAAAGGGGAAGGCCAAAAAAGACGTGGAAGATGCAAGTGGAGGAGGAGAGTGGGAAGGTTGGAATGAGGATGAGGGATGTTTTAAATCGTGCAAAGTGGAGGGAGGGGGTAAGAGCGATTGCCACTAGTTTAAGGTGAATCCGGCCACCCTCGTCTTCGGGGACAAAACCGGATTTAAAATTCTGGGCTACTACTACTATTTATCGTAAACTTAATTAAACAAATTATTAATAATCGCTCAACTAACAATACATTACGCCGCGAACGTACACGCACTTGAATTAATAGTACGTACTAGTAAATAAAAGCGCATGCGCATTCCATTTCCTAGTTCATTATTCTATTATTGTTTGCAAGATAAATCATGATTGATTATGTATGTCAACCTGCATTATCGATCAAAATATAATTGTTTAATTTATCCTAGCGTCCAATATATTGAATCACGTGCCATGTACCAATCTGATTGATTTTTATTTGTTTTTTTCAGACACTGCCATCAAAAAAGAAGTTGTACTGAAACAACTACATACTGAATGTTTGAATTATATTGTAGGTTTCAAGATGGAACAATCATTTTTGTTATATACATTTGTGAAAGGATATTATAAGTTTAATAGCGACTTTGGTACAATATCCGTTTTGAATTGGATTGCAAGGGGCTTCTTCATCTTAGTTTTAGGGATTAATAACATGCACTCTTTTACATCCAACCTGTATTCATATAATTTTTAAATGTACTTCAGCAATGTTATAAGGCGTCTTTTTTATGCAATAAAAAATGTTCTGTGTATATACAACATAATGGTTGATCAGGATTCTTGGCTGTGATAATATCTATGCCGATGCTTGCATTCTTCATTGAATCTCATCAACTAAGATTTTGTCAATGATTATCGATTATCCCCTCAACATGGACGACGGTATTTCTTTAAATTGCCGAGAATGGAGCTAGAAAAATGCTCAGAATTCAATAAATATTTGTAAATTTTATGTTTCAAAATAGAGGAGGTCACTTGATACACGGCTTACAATCCAACACTTGTCTACTATCTACCCGGCAAAAAAGCCAACACTTGAGTCGCGGAATATGAAAGCTCAGAACAACTTACAGTCACATGATTAAAACAATACATTAGGAATGTTGTGTCGAGCTGCTAAAACACCAAGACAATTATATGTAGTTGTCTAGCTGAAAATATGGCAACTAGCATTGTGACTTCAGCATTTTGCAACATAATGTAAAATATGACCATTGTCCAAAGCAGCTTGCACATATAGACGACCACTTGCACCTAGAACTTTCAAGCCCCCCACTTGCACCTAGAACTGGTCATGTTTTCCTCCAAAAAGCTCGAAAGACGAACGAAATAGGGTCTATTTCTTACACTAGATACCAGCCGATACCCCCCCCCCCCCATAGGGACTGCTACAGTTGATTATAGTTCCTGGGCTCCCTATGCTAGAACTAGTCGAGCTCCCTTCCAGGCTCAAAAAGACAAACATTTGCACATATCAGTAGAACTGGTCGATTCCTCGTCCACAGAGCGAGAGAAAATGAACACCTGCACCTACTACTGGCCAAACTCCCCTCCACGTAGCTTAGAGATGAACATTAGCACTTAGAACTGTTCACGTCCCTCCACAGAGCTCGAAAAACGAATGTTTGCGCCTACAACTGCTCGAGCTCTCTTCCACAGAGCTTAGAGATGAACACTTGTACCTGTAACATACTAGTAACTATTCAAGTTCCCTCAACATGGCTTGAAAAATGAACACATGCACCTACTACTGGTCAATCTCCCCTCACAGATCTCGAAAAACGAACATTTGCACCTAGAACTGCTCGAGCTCCCTTCCACAGAGCTTAGAGATGAACACTTGCACCTGTAACATAACTATTCAAGTTCCCTCAACATGGTTCGAAAAATGAACACATCAACTGGCCAAGCTCCCTTTCACAGAGGTCGAAAGATGAGCACTTGCAACTAGGACATATCAAATTTCTCTCCACAGAGGTCGAAAGACGCAAATTTGCACTTAAACCCTCCACAGAGCTTAGAGAGGTACACCAAGAACTGGCCAAGCTATCCTCCACAGAGCTCAAAAAACATTAGCATCTAGAACTAGCATCCCCTCCACCGAGCTTGAAGGAAGAACATTCGCTTCTAGAACTAGCTGAGCTCCCCTTGACAGAGCTTGAAGGACGAACACTTGCACCTTTAACTGGTCGAGCTTTCTTCTACAGAGCTTCACTCCACGGAGCTTGAAGGATGAACCGACCAAGCTTCCCTCAACAGAGCTTGAAGAATTAACATTTTGCACATAGAACTAGCAGAGCTCCACAGTAGAACACTTGCACCTACAACTGGTAAAGCTCATCTCTACAGAGCTTGAGATGAACATTTAAAAAAAATGTATAATCCTTCAGACTGCTCCTTTTTTTTTACACCAGTTATGTAGATATGAATTATCTGATTTTTATGGGTTATAGGGACTTATTCTGACAATGAATATTGACATTGTAGACTGATTTTCATACAAATTGGCTTCAAAAAGTGATCAAATTCCATACAGTTTTGTTAGGAAGAAATACCCCAATTGTTGGCACACACATACAGCTTTACAATGGCCTTGAAGATGCAAGAATCGCATATGGCTGTAGAACCTTATGTACGTATAATTCCATATTTGTAGCCTGGACCAGGATTTTGTATTACGGTACTCAGCTTTGTGCTAGTATTGGGATGTATCCAAGTTATACAGAACATACATGCATGCATGAATGAACGAATGGGAACTTTTTGCAAAGAACACTTCACTTTACTCGTATCAATAGATTGGACTTGGCTATTCAGTTTTGATCAAATGTAATTTTTCTCATTATATTCTAACCACAAATTTGGCTACAAACCCTGGCAGCCATGACAGGAGAGAATGTAACAGTGGTGTTGACATAGCTTTATTGTCAGTTGCTTTGAGGTGTTAATTGGGTAGAGGATTATAACTAAGGTTACATGAAAGGGATACCCACAATTGCATGTCCCTGTTCTCTAAGGTCTATGATGTGGCTTTAACTTCTTTACAGCCATTCAAGCTTGTGCAATCACAATCACAGAGGTGTGACAGCTCAACCTTGTTACTGATTTCATCAGATTCTATGGGGATCACAATAATCCATGGGAGGTGTTTCACACATAATACAAAGTGAGAAAGCTAATTGTGATGAACATACACAATTGTGCATATTTGCAACTACTCTCTGAGACAGTTCCATAGTTCAATAAATTATGGTAAATGCTTTAAATCATTATTTTTATGATCTCTGTATTATTACATATGTGACGGTCATATATAAAAGTATGAGTTAATCAATGACTAAAATCACTTCTTTAACAATTGTCTAGCTGTTCAATCAATTGCTACTGGCAAATTCATGAACTTAAAAATCCAGTGAATATGCTAAAAATAGTGAAGTTAAATTCCTATGAAAATAAATGGCTCTAAAGTAAGATACATTGGACAATTTTCAAAGATTTAACAAATTTTTTGTTCAGTGTAAGTTTTAGTTCTTTCCAAAATGGTAGATCAGTAATCCAGGTATTTGTGTCATCATGAGGAATACCAGTTAAACTGAATATAAAATACCATATCTAACATTTTAAATATGCGAGTATGCCCAGCCCAAGTGCAATATGTATAGCCAGTATTAAGTGTACATGATTCAATAAACAATATACAGTTTTACTGTCAAATCTTTATTCATTTTGGCATTTAAAATGAATAATTATATAGAAAATAATATCAGCTGTAATGGTACATCCAGACATACTTATTGTTGGCATGGTGATAAAATTATGAATATGAATTATCATACATTAAAGGCACTGTTCGGTTCTTTCACTGCCAAATTGGCGCAATTGTTTACACTATTTCACAGCTTTGGATCAGATATAATTAGACGATCATTAATCTGCCCTTCAATGCTGAAGATCTCTTCATGCAAAGAAACTGGGACATGGTGCATCTCCAATTTGTCATCCTTTGGATACATAGTACCTTTATATTATCTATGGGATTATACTAATACCGTGAATTGAGTTTTTGAGACTGAATCATTGCAGTCACTTAGTTCTCTCAAACTCTCAATTCTTATTACTAAAACCTCACTCAATAAGATGTCTTACTAATAGGTGTATCGGTCATGATAAAAGTTAAAAAAAAATAGCCATAGCTCGACAATTGATTTACATAAAAACTTAATATTAGTAATGTACAAAAAATAATTTTGTTACAAATCTAAATATCTCCCTATACAACCTTTTGCAATGCCATAAAGCCAGATGTTATCTACATAAATGATTCTTTGCAATAGAATAAAGCCAAAAATCATCTACTTACATAACCTTTTCAATATGGTGAAGCTAAATGTTATCTACAATTCTATATGTACTACCTATGTAAACAGTAAATGGCAATCTAACATAATACCAATGCAAAATTAACAGATCCAGAAGAGAAGGTGAAAAAGATATTGAGACAATAATGGCAATATTATCTAGGTTTCTAGAAGTTAGTATGTTAAAATGTGTTAAATAATGTGCAACAAAAACATGCAATGGTTTCAGATGAACATGCACATATCAACTCGTACAAACTGACACTCCTTTGATGAAGAATTAAAAGTCACAAAGAGTCTCGTTTTTATTGCCAGGTTTATTGCGATTTATTTGTATGACAAAAATAAGCATCTGATCTGGCCACTCATCTAAAACCATTGAACATGACAATGAAAACTGAGATGGAATAATGATAATAAAAAAGTGTTTTTTTTCCCACGACTGGCAAGATACAAAAATTGTTGAAACTTACAACTATATTGCTGACTACGTTTTTTTTTTACATTTCTGACCCCGCTTTTAAACTACTGCTGCAAAGGGGGTTTCATTCAGGATCAACTTCTTTGGCTTTCATAAAAATATGAAATACAGATTACATTGTCCATTATTATCAATTTTAAAATCTACACTAGTAACAACCTGCATGTAATTCTAAAAAAAAAAAATATGAATAAAACAATTTTGAATAAGCTGTTTTTTGTTTCTATATAATATTAAATAGGGGATGTAAAATGTCAACTAACTTTAATATGAGCTCCCTAAGTGTGTACAAATTGTTTTAGGTTTACTCCCTAAGTATGTAGAATTTGTATCATCTACAGGAACTGTCATTGGTTAATTGCAAATGCATCTTCCATAAGCTGGGTCACTAAGTTAGGTGGACTTGTCAGGAATTTGGTGAATCATGAAAGTGGCGCTCAACAGAGGTCTGAAAAAAAAGATGAATAATTTGGATTAATTAACAAAGTTCATAAATTACAAAGTTTCAAGCACCTTACATATAAATCTAAGCCTTATTCCAAAGGGACACATAAGGTTGATATTAGACAATAGATAGTTTTCTTTCAAGTCAGAGCAGACTGTTATTGAATTTACACTGCTGAGTGAGCAATTGGCTCTGAGAATAAAAACTAAACTTTCCTCGGTACGAGGCAAACATGCTAACTACTATAACATTGCCAAAGTAGTGATTTTATGCCACAATTATGAATATAAAATTGGGTTGTGTGATGATTTAGTCTATAGAAAGTCAAATAGACAAACTGAACTACACTACACCACCAATAAACAAAAATTAATGAGCAGTCGTCTTTAAATTATAAGAAGATTTTAGAATTATCAGAAATTATTACTATCCTATTATGGACTTTCTTCCATAATCGTTACAACCGCTAATCTGATAAACTTGTCTTCATACTTTGATACTGGTCAAATGAGATAAGCAATATTTGCTTTTTACAATACCATATTATTTTTACCATATCACTCAACTAGCTTTCTTGAAATGTGTTGATATGTTAGCACATTTGCTTTATTTGTGCATGAAGGAATAAAATAACATGCATAGTTCACTTGTGCTTAATAAAAGAAGCAGTGATGAGAAGTTTAAGTTTCTATTTGATATGCGCTTCTAATACATCAAATATGATAACTGAGAACATGGGACAAAAGGATCAGCAAACTCACTTATTTGTCAACTTTCTGTAAACCAGCACGTAGATCTACTTTTTCAACTTTGTCCTGATGATTAAAAACAAAAAAATAATTAGTTTGCAATGCATTTTAAAGTTTAGTGATCAGTGTTCATCCATATACTTTCAGCAAATTGTTAATATTTTTTGATTTCATCATTGATAATTTTGAAAGAAATGAAGATGATTTTTCCATTATATACAGGTATGGCATTCAAAGAGTTAATAACCAGGTTGGTGTACTTACATCATCTGCGCCAGATGCTGATTTTCTCTCAACTCTCTTCAACTGAACATCAATACCCTTTTTATCTTCTGTTCCTACTGAGCCAGCAAATTTATCTGCACGGGAAACCTTTTTCAACTGTGGTCTTGTACTGAAAGATAAAAGAAGAAAAAAATATATAAATGAGATGACTCTCTTTACAACTATTACCTTGGTAACATTATATAACTATAATTTTTAATTCAACATCACCACACATGTAATTATAGCGAATTGAAGTTAACAGCAGTAGTAAAACCAGAATAGCCTACCAATTATTAGAACAGCATTTTGACGAAAAAGAAAATATGTGTCTTAGACAATAAGAAAATACTTACAATTTGCCTCTAGCTTCATTCACTCTAGAGTTCAATTCATCAATCTAGAAATAAATAAGTAATAACATGAAATATCTGAGCAATATCTGAACCCTATTAATACTATTATCAGTCAACATACAAGGTAATGGTGGAGTATTTTTGTTAACCAAGTTTTGAATGTATAGACTCAAAAGGTTGATACTGCAGCACTGTTATTCTATTTTCACCTTTCATGAAGTGGCAGTTTGGTCACCCATGCTAGGGTCAGTAAATTTACTCAGGTGAAATATGTGTTATCAGAAAAATTAACATTTCAAGTAATAATTTCATGAATAAATCCATGAAAAAATAATTAAATCCTCATGACTTGAT